AAAAAGAAAAAAAAAAAAAAAAAGAAAAAAAAGCAAAAAAAAAATAAAAATAAAAAAAAAAAAAAGTGAAAGAAAAAAAAAGAAAAAGAAAATAGAAATAAAACAAAAAAAAAAGAAAAGAAGCAAAAAAATAAATAAAAACAGCAAAAGTAGCAAATAAAAGAAAGAGCAAAAGCTAAAGCAGCAAAAACAAAAGTAGCAGTAAAAAGCAAAAACAGCAAAAGCAAAAGCAGCAAAGCAAAAATAGCAAAAACAAAAGCAGCAAGGCAAAAGCAAAAGCAGTAAAAGCAAAAGCAGCAAAATACAAACAATAAAAAAATAATAATTATTATATATGCTCTTTAATCTTATTTGATAATAAAAAAAGGTGTTATTTTATGGTGACCCCATGATCGACCAATCAAAACTGGTTACATGTATTATGTGACTTTAGAGACGTGACAAAAATCAGGTGATTTTTTAGGAGGGAGGGGGTAAAAAATTTAAAATTATATATAAAGACCTGATCAAGATATATAGTAAGAGGGGGTAAGCTTCTGATAAAAAAAATCAGGTAATAAATAACACTGTCCTTATTAAAAAAAAAAAACCAAGATTTTTATTTATTTAATATATAATAAAAAAAAATTTTTTTACATAACAAATTATTATACAACGAATGTCATTACGCAATAAATGTCATTGCGTAATGAACATCATTGCATAATGAACAAAAAAACATCTAAGCACCCGCTTTATATCAAAAAGTTCAATTTTATCACAACGAAAATTTCACTTTACTACAAAGACAACAACACCAACGAAGAAAGCTTACCATAAAGACGGTGATATCAATGACAAAAACTTCACCACCAAGAAGGACGATACTATCGACAAAGCATCACTACCAAGAAGGATGATACTAATGACAAAGCAACTCTGATAACAATGCAATGATTCTGAAATTAAAGCTAAAAAAAAAAAATTGTTAGTTCTGATAAGGAAAAATGAAGAAAACGAAAAAAAAAGAAAAAAAAAAAAGGACAAAAGAAAAACAGAAAAATGAAAGAAAAACAGAATAGCAAAGAAAAAACAGAGAGATGAAAAAAAAAAATAGATAGATAAAAGAGAAAACAAAAAATAAATATGTGAACAAAAAAAAAACAAAAAAAATAAAAAGGAAGACAAAAAAAAAAAAAAGAAACAAAAGAAAAAAACAGAAAGAAAAAAAAAACAAAAAGAAAAAAGAAA